CTCTGACCATTTGTCTCTCTGACCATTTGTCTCTCTGACCATTTGTCTCTCTGACCATTTCAACAGTTTTGTTAAGTCCTGTGAGATATTTACTGTTGTGATTTACGGCGATACAAAAATACATTGAATTGAATTGAACTCATTCTAATGTGGGTGAAGTGTCTTGGGTGAAGGACACAGCGGCAATTTAGAAAGAGACATTTCAAAATATCTTTCCCAGCATTTTGTGTACATTTAGAAATACATTGAATGAGAAAATGATAGGGGGAAAAGTAAATGTAGCATGTTACGTACGCTATATAGTAACAGGAAATGTGAGGTTAAGCTGGATATTCCACTTCCCTCGAACCGAGACATGTTTATAGAGGGTAAAGAAAGGACAAAACATGCTAATCCTGCTCAGAAACCTGCGATAGACGTCTGGTCAGCCTTCAGCTTTGTTGTTCTGTTTGTTCACCACAGAAAGGGTCCACACAGGGCTACGCTGGTGTCGTGTTACTGGCTTGGTTTGGATCGGTTTGGCGTGACTTAATACCGTTATGGAGAATTTGTGGTGCATAAACACTCATAACTCAAACAGGAAATCGGATCTAAAACGGTTTCATTTCCTCGTAAAGTTCATGTTATTAAGAAGTTAATACGCCTGAAGGGACACTGACTCTGACTCTCACTCTGGGTTCAAACTGTCCACGGGGTCCCACAGGTTAAAGGGCAAGTGTTTTAGAGAGGGATTCCACAGAGACAAGCTTCTTTTCAACTTAAATACTGGATGTAGAGATAGAGCTGTAGAAGAGGGAGACAAGAGACCAGAGACCTTAGACCTTAGACCTTAGACCTTAGACCAGAGACCAGAGACCAGAGACCAGAGACCAGAGACCAGAGACCAGAGACCAGAGACAAGAGACAAGAGACCAGAGACCAGAGACCAGAGACCAGAGACCAGAGACAAGAGACAAGAGACAAGAGACAAGAGACAAGAGACCAGAGACCAGAGACCAGAGACCAGAGACCAGAGACCAGAGACCAGAGACCAGAGACCAGAGACCAGAGACAAGAGACAAGAGACAAGAGACAAGAGACAAGAGACAAGAGACAAGAGACCAGAGACCAGAGACCAGAGACCAGAGACCAGAGACCAGAGACCAGAGACCAGAGACCAGAGACCAGAGACCAGAGACAAGAGACAAGAGACAAGAGACAAGAGACCAGAGACCAGAGACCAGAGACCAGAGACCAGAGACCAGAGACCAGAGACCAGAGACAAGAGACAAGAGACAAGAGACCAGAGACCAGAGACCAGAGACCAGAGACCAGAGACCAGAGACCAGAGACAAGAGACAAGAGACAAGAGACAAGAGACCAGAGACCAGAGACCAGAGACCAGAGACCAGAGACCAGAGACCAGAGACCAGAGACAAGAGACAAGAGACCAGAGACCAGAGACCAGAGACCAGAGACCAGAGACAAGAGACAAGAGACAAGAGACAAGAGACAAGAGACCAGAGACAAGAGACAAAAAAACAGACACCCAAGACCATGCAGAGACCAGAGACAAGACCAGAGACCTAAGAACCAAGATCACACCTGAGACCAGAGTCACGACACTAGAAGCAAAACAAACGGTAAAATGGGAAGTTATTGACTTGAACAACTTTGTCCTATAACATCTGTGAAAAAGCTGGAAAATGATGATAAAAAAGTTGATTTGAAAAAAAAAATGTTTGAAAAAAAAGCAGGACATCACATGTAAAAAGCAATAACTCTGCTAACATTAGCTCAACCCCTGATCCTGGAATGAATTAATTTGTCAAACATGAGAAATCGTGCCCAGACCTGTCTCCTGAACATACTGTATAAACTGCCACCAAGAGAAACTAAACTACCTATAACCACAACTTTTACAGCTTTCAAAGGCAATTTAAATCTTACAGGTTTAGAAATGTGGCTGAAGGCAGAAGCAAAAATACACTCAAGAATTGTGTCATTAAAGCTGGGGTACCTGATTTTCCCTGAATATTCTCCCGAAAGCAGCAAAGGAAAAGTTTATGTCTTTCACTTTTTGCAGCATTTTTTCACTGCTTTGTGAGGAAAAAAAAACTCAAACCATCGTTGATTGAAATAAGTAAATTATTTCTCATATTTTGATTTCCAGATGATTTTCAGATCCAATTGGCCGAGAAAAAAGAGAGAGAAGTTTGAAAAATGACAACTTTTGCTTTACTTTGAGTACGTCTAAAACTACAAGAATCGATCTTCATAGACTACACACTGTACTTCAGTCAATCTGCCCCAGGACAGCTGTGGCTTCAGCCGCTGTTCATAACTACTGGAATGGATGGAATGATTCTCCAATTAAAGCTGGGGTACGTGACTTTCTTTGTCAATAAAACACATGTTGAAACAGAAAGTCATCACATCATGTTATCTTCCTCTTCTATTAAAGTGATTGTCTGGAGTTTGTCAGAAAAAAGAGAGAGAGGTGATTTGAGGTGACATGATTTGAAAAAAAAAAAACGGCCCAAGGTCCTCCCCCTTCCTTTCTGATTGGTCTACGCCTACATTTCCGTACCAATCAATAAACACATTTAAATGTTAATCGGAGAACACATTATACATATACATTATTAATAGACATGTACGGAGGTTTTCAGAATTATTTGTTAACGTTTTCATGACAAAATTAATTTTTTAATGCACAAAAAAAGCGATCGCGGTAAACCCGGAAGTAGCTTTTAATATGAATTGAACATTATAGGACACATCTGCAGAGGATCTGATTATGGATATAGGTACTGAACCTATGTCCATAATCAGATCCACTGCAGATGTGTCCTTGAAAACAAATAACTGAGCATGCGCGCAACTACGAGCACGAGCGGCGATGATTGACAGCCCTTGGCATCACTTGATTGGTTAACGTGGACGGCATCGTGGATTCTGAGCTATAGCTAAGAGAAGGGAAGGCGGGACTTACTCGTAATATTAGAATTCATAAAATGACTTATTTTATATCAACATTTAAGGCCAAGAGGTGAATTTAATACAATTCTTAAAATGTGTAATTCATTTAGAGTTCCAGACTATCACTTTAAAATATTTATCTTTTTGGCAGAGAGAGTGGTTGCCTCTTTTTCACTTCTTTCTGTCGGAAAAAGCTAGTCTAAAAATGACAGAGAACAAAAACACATGTGAAAACTAGTGATAGAACCAAACTATTTTATAGCCTGGAATAGTTACATTGTTTTAATGTGTGTGGTGTGAAAGTTCGCTACCCCAGCTTTAAGCACTATATAAAACCACTACATTATTGGCCTATTAGTTGTTGTAAATTAAGAAAATGAAAGCCTTGGTAGTCTTCTAATCAAGGCTGTAAGTGATAATTACAGGTTCAGAGAGGGTTCACAGGTGGTTGTGTGGCTACAGGCCGTTTATTGCCAAAAGAGTCTGTGGGAGCGGGTACCTCTCTCGGTGTCGGCCACTCCGAGGTTTCTTAATTTTTTCTCGTTGGGTTTTTGAGTTGTTCCTTGTCAATGCTAGCCTAGCCTTAGCCATCTGTAAACTCTGGTCGATTGTTTTTTTCCTACATGTAGCTGTACGTCTGGGTCCGATCCGAGTGGCTGTAGTTTTCTCGGTTGAATCCACACCGACCAATCAGCGAGCGAGGGAGGCGGGTGTTTTAGGTAGGTGTCGTGGTGTCAGGAGTTTGTACCGAATTAGCTGGTTGTGGTTTGGCAATAGCGGAAAATGCAGTAGTACATTAAATGAATCCGTTCCGGTTAAGCTCCAAATATGAAGAACATGAAGCCGGAGCAAGAAGAATGTTTAGCAGATTTCATTAATGCAAATATGTTGTGGCTCTACTGCCCACGGCCTCTGTTAATGGCAAAGGAGATGGCTAAAGCTAGGCTAAATGCTAAATGCTAGCCACTCACTCAGGCGCATTACAAACATCACGGCAAACTCAGATCCAATCGTTTCAATCTGCAAAAGGAGTGGACCCCTCCCACCTGTTAACGGAGTTCAATGGAGAAAATCCAGACCTTAGTACGAATCGAAATTAGTCCAATGGTGTGGTAAGACCAGGCTATGTTAACGCAGGAGGCTCTGAGGACAGTGATGATCCAGGACCTTTTTGGACACTTAAAAACATTGGTAATCCCGCTCCCTACGTGTTTGATATTATTGAATTTCCTGTTATTGAACTTTTTTTGTGTTTTATCTGTTGTTGTTCTAAAGTGCCCCAAAACAACTTTTGCTGTGATTTAGGGCAGTGCACAAAATATATATATATATATATATATATATATATATATTACAAATTAAATTAATTGAAATTTAATTGAAGACCTTTTCCACTAAACCACAAACAAGTAATGACTTAATGAAATAATTTCTGAGATTTCAAAACAGTGGTCCTATCTCTAGTTTTCATATCAATGTACTATTTTTGTATTTTTTGTTATCTGTCACTCAAGACTCTTTCGGTTCGAACACACAAAATGCAAAACACATCTTTAGAAGGTTTAGGTACCCCAGCTTTAAGACGGAAAGAACATGCTTGAAGTGTTATGTAAACAGTATGTCCTCATTATGCCTGGAATGAGGAACATGGAAAATGTAATAATCATTTTAAGTACTGTACACAGTTCACTCAAACCAAGAACATTCATGAGTAAATGTAGCCAGACCAGTCATATCTTTATAAGACAATGTATAAACAGTTAGAGAGAAGAATAATGCATCTAGTTTGGATTAACACATTTGTACAACACACTGCAAAACGTGATGAAAAATAAGTCCAAAATTGCTAAAATTTGGCAAAATGTGTCTTAATTTGAACAGATTTTGACTGCCTCAAACTAGTTTTACCAATAGGACAAAGCAAAAAAGTGTATTTATTCTAATATATTTTGTTTTTCTTATATATTTTTGCCAATATGTATCCATCGCAGTCTACAAAATAACAAATTCTAACACATAACTGATAACATTTCACTAACCTGATTTTGCCACATTATTGCTCCTTAGTGTGGCTTTAATCCCAGTTTTGTTGCTCACTTCTGGAGTCTTGAAGTGCATCTTGAAGGTGGACACATATCTGGACCCGTTGCTCGTGTCTCCATTCATGTCTCTGTTTTATTTGGAGGATTCCAGCTCCAAAAATATAAAATAAAACTAAGCAGACATTTCCCAGACTTCCTCTTCTCTACACACTCAGTTGAAGTTTGGTCTCAAAGCTGCATCATTGCTCTGTTTCTCACCCCTCCTTCTCCACGGCTAAACCCCGCCCACTTCACACACTGGGGCTGCACGAGTGGCAATACTGATACAATTTGATTACAGAGATGTATGTAGGGGAGAGAGCGAGAGAGACCAGAGAGCAGAGAGAGAGAGAGAGAGAGAGAGGGAGAGAGAGAAACCAGAGAGAGACCAGAGAGACCAGAGAGAGAGAGAAAGAGAGACCAGAGGGAGAAAGAGAAAGAGAGACCAGAGATAGAGAAAGAGAGAGAGAAAGAGAGACCAGAGATAGAGAGAGAGAGAGAGACCAGAGAGATGGGGGGAGTGAGAGACCAGAGAGAGTCCAGAGAGAGAGAGAGAGAGACGCACAGAGAGTCCAGAGAGAGAGAGAAAGAGAGAGACCAGAGAGAGAAAGAGGAAGAACAGAGAGAGAGAGAAACCAGATAGAGAGTGAGAGATAGAGAGAAGAGAGAGAAAGAGGGCGACCAGAGAGAGAGAGAGAGACCAAAGACAGAGAGAGAAACCAGAGAGGGAGTGAGAGATAGACAGAGACAGAGAGAGACAGAGCGAGAGAGAGAGAGACCAGAGACAGAGACAGAAACCAGAGAGGGAGTGAGAGATAGACAGAGACAGAGAGAGAGAGAGAGACCAGAGACAGAGACAGAAACCAGAGAGGGAGTGAGAGATAGACAGAGACAGAGAGAGAGAGAGAGACCAGAGACAGAGACAGAAACCAGAGAGGGAGTGAGAGATAGACAGAGACAGAGAGAGAGAGAGAGACCAGAGACAGAGACAGAAACCAGAGAGGGAGTGAGAGATAGACAGAGACAGAGAGAGAGAGAGAGACCAGAGACAGAGACAGAAACCAGAGAGGGAGTGAGAGATAGACAGAGACAGAGAGAGAGACCAGAGACAGAGACAGAAACCAGAGAGGGAGTGAGAGATAGACAGAGACAGAGAGAGAGAGAGAGAGACCAGAGTGAGACAGAGCGAGAGAGAGAGACCAGAGACAGAGACGAAGACACACAGAGCGAGAGAGTGAGACCAGAGAGAGGACGTGAAGAGAACACCTTTTCCCACAACTTTTTTTTTGCATTACACTGAATCCTGACCATTGACATTCGATAGGAAGATTTACAACAACTATAAATGAACATGTAGGTTTCTGGTTGAAGTACGGCCATGTTTGAATGTGATAGAATTGATGTATATTGTACAAGATGCATTTGAGACACAGAAAATCTCCAATAACCAGTTTGTATTTCTTTAAGTCGACCGGCCATTGATAATTAGTTGGCCCTCCTGCTGCCTCCTCCTTATTCAATCACATTTGTCCTCAATCCACTGCACAAATGTGAGCTTTTATTGCCCCAATCCTCCCACAATGACCTCCATAAAGAAAGGAAAAGAAGGAGAAACAGCGCAGAGACAGACAGCCGTGTTCTCTCAGTCAAAGGTCTGCAGTGGTGTTTGCTCTCCGCTTATCAGAGCTGCACTTGAACTTTGGCAGGAGAGGACATGTTAGCACACAGGCTGCAACCGTAATGGGTGATACAGAAATACTTGTTTGGACTTTTTCACTTGGGTATTGGCTCTGCATGACAATCAGATACTAGTTATTATAAATGTGGAAAAGTCATTATGTTTACGGCTTTTTCTTCTAATAAGACAATTAAGCTAGTACTGCTTAAATACCTGACATGTTTTGGCGGTACACTTCCGCCTTCATCAGAGGTTATTATAGTTCTGAATGGAGCTTACATGTTCTCCTCGTATCTGTGGAGGTGTCCTGCGGGTGCTCCGGTTTCCCTTACCACTAAAGATACAGTATGTGCAATAGGCATGAATGTAATCAGTGAGTGAATGGATGCTGTTGATTGGGGGCTTTGATGGTCCAGTGTGTTCGGGGTCTCGCTTCTGTCGTTACCATGTGGAGAGAATGGAACGATATCCCAACTCTGAACAATTGCAAAGCACCTTGGTCCGTGAAAATGCGCTATATACTGTAAATAAAGATTCCTTCCATACTTCCTTCCTTACCCTCAGGCTGCAAATATATAAACAAATACAGACAATATTTTTAACCTTTACCATGTTTGGACAATCTGAGTGATTCTAAATTTGCCAAATGAAAGTAAATTTCTCCATGTACAGATGTAAACACACTTAATGTTTCTTGCAATAGAATACACAGGATTTTTTGATTTTTGATTTGCAATTCCAAAAAATTACACTAAAGTTACGATTTTATTTCTGAATATTATTGATAATTTATCTTGTGCTCCTCATTCCTATGGTTCTGTAACTGGTGATGCAACACTGATATTTCCCCACTGTGGGACGCATAAAGAATCTCTTAATTTTAGTCTAAAATTAACAGAGAAGAACATTATAAACCATTCGTGACCAGTCTGCGGTAACCAAAACAGAGCGATTTCAGTCTTGGTCCATCTGTTTTGACCAAGACTGTGAAGATAAACGTATAAATCAGACCCGCACCAACGCTCATGAGCTTTTGGGGAATGACCATTTTGGGCCTGCCCGAGGTTTCTCATTGTTATCATGACTTTTTATGCATAATCTGTGTTTCTTTAAGTTCATATTCACTCTTTAGCTTAATTACTATGATCCAATTTGCAGTTTCTTTTGGTTTCAAGAGGACAATTGTTTCAGCCTCCAGCCATAAAACCTCTGTTAGATTATTAGAATGTCTTATTTTATCTCTGGAGTGGGAGGCAGATGGACTAGATACTGTAATTGTAGGAAAACTCACCAAAAAGCAGTGCAATCACCTCAAGACTTTCTCATGATTTCACTTGGCACCAAAAGGCTAAATAAACAAAGGCACCAGTTCTCTGTATTATTGTAAAGGGATGGGGTTTTTTTTTCTTTCAGACTAATTCTCTACAATTCAAGCAAGACCTACTCAACCAGAATATCAATGCCTTTTATTCCACGGGCTGAGATAAATGTGCCAGCCGTCCAACACTACAGTGGAAGTCAGAAATCCAACGATGCAGTCATGTAGAAGTGAATGAGAGAGAGACAAAAAGCTCTGACGTCATCACCCTCCTCGTCCTCCGCCTCCTCTGCTCGGTCCAATCCCACATTCCACAGCAGGGATGCCAGCACGCAGGCTCATTTTCACTGAATTCGGTCAGCAAATATACAAAGCGGGAAGTTGCACAAACACAAGAAGCATTGTTGATTTTGTTGTATGTTTGTGAAAGAGGAGATTGGACCACAAGCTTTTGTCAAATGCTTTGCCGCTGAGATCCCATTGCACAGGTTAGAATAACAGTCTTCACATTCATCACAGGTCAATGAGGGACAAGAACTTTCATTTATTTACACAGGAAGTAAGATAATGGATCCCCTGTCCTCAAAACCTCCCTTTTGGCACAAAAAAAACTAAGGGGATAAAGAGAAACCTTGGGGAGAACCATCCCGAATCAGAGATGTATTCTCATGGACGCCAGGCTGTGGACCTGTGCAGGACTTTATCATTTACACTTTTTAAATTGCACGTTCATTCACAGAGCCATGAAAAGTTTCTAAATACAAAACATATTTTCTAGGGATGAGTCACCAGTTTATGAATTGTACTGATCTAAATCTATATTTAGTATTTGGAATTTTTGTTTAACGTATTCAACCTTTGTGCTACCCTCGTGTCAAAATGACCCGCCACAATGATTAAAAAGTCAAGTTTAGATGGAATCCTTAAAATTAAGCTAAAACTATAATTATTGAGGGTATCTTTAAATAATATCTGGTGGGTCAATTTTCCCCAGAAAAGCACAAGTGTTGAGAGAAATCTAAATGCATATTCAGTCTTCACACTGAACTTTTTGCCATGTTGGTCTTAAATTGAACATTAGTCACTTTGATGCATATTTTAATGTAGGACCTTGGGAATAGTATAGAACAAAGCAAATGGATCCCGGGTCCTCAAAGCATCATAAAAAAGAACCTTGAGGAAAACCACCGTGAATGAGATCTATTCCCATGGACGCCAGGCTGCAGACCTGCGCAGGACTTTCTGGATCTGTTTTTGATAAGGAACAATGTTGTAACATGATTAATAGTAGCTCTAAAAAGATTTGGCCTAATATATCTCTCGTAATGTGCACTTTTGAACAGTGTAAGTCGGACAGATCTGGGTGAAACAGCCTAAAGTCAGTGGCACAGTGACCAAAGGCTGTAAACTGGATCCAAAAAGACACATATACAACGTCTTATGTTGCCTTCACTTACGACTTTCCATTCTTCTTGTTCCGCTTTGCCACAGGTCAAGGGTTGGGCATAAAAGATAATGAGGTCATACATGTCAGCTCTTTACAGGGAGCGTTTGATTTCAAAACAAACTGTTCTTACATGTTATAGCTTCAAGGATCGGGACAAAACCACAAAATCCTCAAAAAAAAATTTACTTATAGAGTGTATGTCCACAACCGAACCAGGACTGAACAACATTTTATACGATTTCTACTTTGTGAACTTACACTTCACAATTCATAATTCGATTAACCACAAAGTTATTAAAAACAAGTGCATTTCAGAATATGTCATAGAAGTCTTCGCTTAGGTTCAAATGACGAGATACAAAAAGCTTACGCTATCTAACTGATGCAAAGTAGAAATACAGTAGTTTGAGATTTTCAAGTTGCAATTATTCAAAGGGCCCACACCGCTGCACAGCCTGAGTCCTGGATCTACAGCCTGAATCCTGGATCTACAGCCTGAGTCCTGGATCTACAGCCTGAATCCTGGATCTACAGCCTGAGTCCTGGATCTACAGCCTGAGTCCTGGATCTACAGCCTCAGTCCTGGATCTACAACCTCAGTCCTGGATCTACAGTCTGAGTCCTGGATCTACAGCCTGAGTC